GAGACAATATTTTACTATTATCAATAATTTCTTTAAATTTATTTCTAAAAATCAGAGATTGGGATCAGTGGATTCTGATGTTTCTTCTCGCGTATCGATCTTCAAGACATGAGCCACCGGAATTTCGCTGAGGTGTATTAAGTCGAGAACTCAGGTTACCGTTAGATTTATTGCGGAATTCTTCTTTCTGAGACAGAGATGACAAATAATTATTGCCATCAACTTCAAGAGAAGTTAGATTCAATTCATGAAGTCGCTAGGCAAAATTTGTTCCAAAAATCTATGTCTTCCAACTTTCGTTATGATCGGGGCACTAGGAAGTGTCATTTTACTGAGGGAAGTAAAATTTGGTTTTATAATTCTCGTCGTAAAGTGGGAAGAACGCCAAAACTACAGTCACATTGGGAAGGACCTTTTGAAGTCGTTACAAAATTAAGTGATGTGGTTGTTACGTCCTAGAGGAGGAACGCAACCTTTTCGTTCGCGAGTAAGGCGAACCTCGTTCGTACACGCGTGTCAGTAAACGGGTCAGGGACCCGACGGGTCCCTTTACTCGGGCACCGACGTACGAGCGGTCCGTTTTTCGGTCAGGGACGCGAATCCCTTTACCGGGGATAGGACCATGACTGTTGGAAGGGTGTATGTGATTTTGAAATCAATTGGAAAAAGAATGAAATATAAACAGATTTATTAAAATGAGTATAATAACAAAATGAATTACGACGCGGTTTAATACAATTGATGAATGACTGTGTATATGTACGTGTGTATGTATGAGAAGTGAAAGGAGGAAATAAAAAAAAAAAAGGAAGGAATATGAGTAAAGAGTTAGTCGGGTGAGGGGGAGCGTGAGTGGTCGGGTGAATTTAAGGGAGTGGATAGTTCGGAGAAGGAAACTGGTGAATAAGATATCGAAGGGGTTGAAGGCGGGGACGCGTGTGTAGGAGAAGAAGGCGGAGTACTAGGGGAAAAACGAGGAAGAAGGTAAGGGGATAGGAGTGTAGGATCCGGGTGATAATCAGTTCCTCTGAATCAGTTCCTGAATTCAATTTTTTCTTTTTGTTTAATAGGAGCATGGAAGGTCGCTCCTTGCTTCTTATTCTGAATTTTCGTCACTAGGCGGGGAAGTTGAGATTGATTCCCCTTTTCAAAATTTTTCAACATTTCTTGATTCGACAGGGGTTGCGAGATTTTCCTCCGGTGAGTTAATTTGTATATAATTAAATGTACCTTGGCCGTCGCATGATGCCGCATTTCGTGGTTCTCTTTCTTCGCGGTCAAGAATATGTTCCCCTTTATCTTTAGGTTTTTCGTTATCTCTATTATTCTCAATATTTCCATCTTTAATATCGTTATTCTTCTCGTTATCCTTTAAAATCGCGGGTCGTATATTGATAATTGGTATTAATATTTCTATCTCAGTATCCAAAGAATTAATTACATTAGTGTAAGCCTTACCGTCAATATTTTTTATTAAGCCGGTTGATTCTACTTCTACACCTTTTCCTATAGTTATCTTGGGTAAATATCACTCTTTAATATGCGGATTTCCGATGCGCACGAAAAACAATGCTTTAGAGCGCGCAGGAATTATTACAGATTCTTGTGAATAAAAAGGAATTTTAGTGGTTAAGACTTCTAAGTGACCTTTTGAATAATCAATTTTAGCTTTAGTTTGTTGAAAAAAGTCGTTGCCTAATATCCCACAAGATTGAATAGGAAAATCATCGGAAATTACATGAAAGTCGACAGGAATTCCCAAAATTATCTTAGTAATTTTTCCGATAGTGTACACGGGTGAATTATTAATTCCATTTAATTTTAATATATGCGTTGAATCTAAGTCTGGAGTTCCTGAAATGCGAGCTTCTTTAATAAGGTTGGGTCCCGATCCCATATCTAACATAAAAGTTTCAAAATAACTATTTCCATTTAAACTTAACTGAACAGTAGGCACGCAGCTTTCTTTATTCAAATTAATTTCTACCGGTCTAATTATTGGAGCTCGATTATTGTGTTTTCTGTTAGTGCAGTCATCACTGGGCGCCCCGATCCGTCGGCTCCCCGGTTCGCGCCCGCCGTCGGGGACCCTTGAAAGTTTCCCTGTTTCTTACGATTATTTTCGATTCTCAAAATGCAATTTTCTATTGTGTGCCCCGTTTCCTTGCAATATCTACATTGATTTGCTAAATCTTGTATTGTAGAATTGGAAGTATTTTCCGATGATCGATTTTCGCGACAATTACGAGCACTATGTCCCGTTCTATTGCAGATTTGACAAATAATTTGGACGTTATTTCTCGGAGAATTTCTATTAATAACTTGTCTTTCTCTACATTGAGATGCTTGATGTCCACGTCGCCCGCACCATTGACATACTTCGTTATTAGGAATATTATTCCGATTAGGATTCGCGTAACAATTCTTCGCGTTATGACCCGGTTTATTGCACATTTGACAAATAATATTAGTAAAATTAGAGGAATTACCTCTACAATCTCTAGAGACGTGACCAGGTCTCTGGCAATTTTGGCATATAACCTGCTGATTATTAAGTGAACGGCAATTTTGAGCAATATGACCGGGTTTAGAGCATATTTGGCATGAGACGAAATCGCTTTGTACAATTTTTACCGGCTTTTGTCCGATAGCTTCTCGGAATCTACATTTATCTGCACTATGGCCCCGTTTTTTGCAAATTTGGCAGACTAAGATTTCGGTCCCCAAGGATTTTGTATTTTGTAATATTAGTTTACATTTATCTGCTGTGTGACCGGATTTTTTACATATTTGACACAAATCTGTATTGACTTGAAAACCTTGCAACCCACGTATTTCGAAAATATCCCGTAATTCTTTTTCAATTCTTAAAGCTTCTTCTACAGTTGCGGTTACATCTAAATTTCTGGCAATTCTTTGCTCTATTTCAGGCTTCAGCCCTCTGATGAAACTGTGAACCAATTCATTTTCTAATGATGTTTTATAAGAGCGATCTATTGCTCTGTTATTCGTGGTTCGGTGTGCCTCTAATATACGTTTGCCTATTGCTTTCGTTCTGTTTGCATATGTGAGTACCGTTTCATCGGCCTGTTGGTAATTTCGTCCTAATTCAACTTGCATTAAGCTTTTAGAAGAGCCGTATACATGTTTCAAAAATTTGTTAACTGATTAATCCGCGAGAAATCCTGGTCTTGTACAGAATGACGAGCGTCGCCAGTTAATCTAGTTTGAATTATCTTAGTCAAATATTTTTCGTTTTCGGGCGGTAACATGGACTTTGCTAATTCGCATCCTTCTATAAAATATTCTACAGGTAGATTTTGACCATCAAAGAAAGGAACAGCCTCTACGGCATATCGTAAAGTAGCGGAAGAGTTATTTGTTACTACGTTATCGTTCATGGTTTCTGTGGTTGTAATAAGTTCTAAATTAGATTGTTCTCTATGATTGCCTTGTTCCGTAAGATCTTTTACCGTAAGTTTACTGCTGGGGTCTATTTCACTTTCTGTGACAACCAGACGGAAAGAATATAAGGAATTATCAAAAGATTTACCGCGTAGGTTCAGCGCAAAAACTAGTTTCTTCGACAGATACTTCTGCGATAGGACTCGGGGGTTTATTAGTTCTTTGAGGTGAATGAGTTATACCAAATGCGCTGAGAGAAAGTGGGCTATCACTCAAAATTTTCCGAATAGTTGAAGTATCGACGTCAGATGTAGGAGCAGGAAATGTTTCAGTGATATTAGTGGTAGTTTGTTGGTTGTGTGGCACGAATGGTGTAGATGTATGTTGAGGTTGTTCCGATGATTCTAACTCGCGAGGACGACGAAGTGGTGTATTCTCGACAGCTCCGCGGAAAGTTTTTTCCACCTCGTCTTTATCAGATTTAGACCGCGTATTCATACCCCTTTTCAACAGTCACTCTTATCATCCCGGACCAATATACCAATATATATGTATATATTCCTATTATAGTTATATTAGGAGAATATAAATCCGCGAGAGGAAAAGACAATTTTGTTAGTTAAATCTGCAGGACGTAACATGGTATATTGCATTCAGAAATCAAAAAGGCATAAGAAGAAAATAGTTCATTCTGATAGATTAGCTTCCTTTTGCGAACGAGCGATTTAACGTTTTTTTTTTATTAAATGAAGTCTATTATATTCCATCTTCAACGGATTAAGAAGACTATCTTACTCGATTTTTGACCGTAGTTTTCCCGTGAGTCTTTTGGAAAAAAAAGGATGAATGCCAAGGCAGGGACTCGGAGAGTTCTCATTGAAAACGGTTGGACGGAAGATTCCTACCCCATTGTCCGAAGACTGGTGCCAAGGAAAAGGTAAGCGATTCGAGAGGATTTCGGTTTTAGTCACTCCTGGACGTCTTGAAGACTGATCACCTCCTGGAAGACATATTTGGAGCGGACGTGCTTAAACGGAAACAAAAATGTATGGAGTTCGCAAAACCTACAGCAACAGCTTAAGACAGGACGAGATCTATGAAGTTTCCTTGAGCTAAGAAGAGGATAACCCCCGTGAATTGTCGGGACGACAATTTCAAAAGAGAGAGGGGGTAATGTATCTGAGCCACCGTATGTGTGGCAACGTCAGCTGTTCGCGAGCTTGGATCGGCAGTATTGATTGAAAAATTGACAAGCGATCAGCTGGGCAGCGAGGAAATAAACAACGAAAAAGAAGAAATTTGTGTGTCGAGCACGAGCCGTCGATACGGATTGACGTAGAGCGTGCGGCCTTATCTTTACAATTTACGCGCAAAAAGGTTCGTGGCTGTAAAGTTACGCTGTACATAAAGCTTTTTGTTTTCCAACCCAGCGTAATTATTTCTTCCCGCGTAATTATTTCTTCAGTGAAATTCATCTCGCGTGTGCGCGACAATATAATAAAATTTAAAATAACACATATGAAAAATTTAGGAGAAGATATTAATTATAAATCTATAAATATTAAGAATTATATTAAGTATTATCACTTATTTACTCTCTTATTCTTTTGTCCAGTTGAATACAATGTCGCACACGTCGATCAACTCCATTGATCATATTCAATTGATCATTGTCAACCCATCTCAATTTATCACGCACTGTTAAATTCTCCAAACAGTGACTGTAAGAAACAAAGACAAATAAATATTAGAAATATATATCGAATTTTCTAGTCGAACTTTCGTACATTAATTTTATAATCGTTTATCAATTTAACAAATGATCAAAATAAAGTCAAACGACCTTCTCACCACAATACATTTTGCATTCCACAAATATGTTCCAGTAACAAGAAATAAATGGCATCTATGGCTATAACGATCATACCGGATACTACATAAGCAGTAACCTCAATAGATAAAAGCATATAATAATATTTCTCTTGGTCTACAAAATATTCAGCACGATGCAATAATTTCCTCGGACCTGTTTCATTCTGTGTTGTAGCAGAATCAAGTACAAATACGCTGAGAGGTAGCAATAGGTAACTAAACAAAAGTCCACATATGCAAGCTAGGTAAAAAAAAAATGATTCGAGTCACATGTGACTTTCATAATAATATCATTTAGCTGTGTAGAATTATAAATAAACTTGGAACGTTCAGTTTGCGTTTTTATTTGTTAATAAAATGAATCCTGTTTAACTAGTATTTAATGTATCTATCCAGAAATTCTTACTTGCGTATGAAATCGTAAACTTTCGTGCAATCTTGGCGTAGCGCATTAAAATTTGCCTTTCTCGACCCTTTGGAATATTAATCCAATCTTCATGCGTTAAGTCTATGAGATCCTTAAACTAAAAGAACATATTTCAAAATTAATTCGAGAGTTTGACGCTGTAAGATTATGTCTACCTTTTTAGAATTGTGAGTTAAGCCAGTTAGTTTTCCAAAGCAAAATATTGTACCACATAAAGTTGGCATAAGTTCGAACATCTCATCCATGCGGTACCAATATTCCACAAAATATACAACCTAATAATAAGTAATAAGTTGATGGCGATTATTATTTTTACATGAGTAGATATAGTAAGACCAATTCTAACCAAAACAACTAACGTCATTAGTTTTGACAACTGATAACTCCCAGCTGATCGTTGATAACTAACAGTTGATTGTTGGCAGCTATCATTTGACAACTGTTAGTGATAAGGAAAACAGTGGGCAACTTGTCACTACAAGGTGATGGAAGCGAAAAAAATAAATCATGAATTGGTCGGGCTGGAACTCTCGTCTTTTATTCGCTATACAAATATCTGTTGTATGCACTTATTATACAGTGACGATGCATATAGTAAAATAAATGTTCAATAGTGGTTCGATAAAAATGCAATATAGTACTATAGACCTGGTAGTAATTTAATATAGCACGATATATACGATAGCAGGCGTGAACGCCTTTGTAAAAAATCTACAAATATGGACATCCTCTCACTTAATCTATTATTGTAAGAAGCCATTTTCATAAAAGAGGCTTTACTGTACATCTTCCAACAAAAATTTCAGGAACTTAGTAGAACAATTACATATTGAACGAAAGACTCATATCCGATTTTGACTAAGCCTTGGCTTTTCGTTTCCTTCAATTTATAGTGAGCCCTCTCCCCCTATTCAATCATACTATCAACAGCTATCAAATGATGGTTACCAATGAATAGGTGTTAGCTGTCAATAATCAGTTACCAACCATTAGCTCTTAGCTTTTAAATTTAATGAAACGTTAATTAACGTTAACTAACGTTAATCGTTTTCCGATTTCAATTAAAACCTGCCTATTATATCTATTTACGTGTATTTGCATAAAACATATAGATGTCTTCGAATGATTGCTTTTATGGTAAAAAAAAAAGATACCATTATTATTCTGATTACAATATATTTAATTGTATATTTTATTGTATATTGAAAGATTTTTTCTGTATATTTAATATTTTGCATATTTGATTTTTTATTTTTATATTTAACGACTTTTTCCTCTTGCGTATTTTCTTCTTAAATAATCGTGCTAAATTCGTTATTATCTACAAGTTATACACCTGTGGCAACATTGCCACCGTAATGGCGACTATGGTAATTGATAAACTAAAAAATTTTATGGTTGGCTTTTGATATGGCCAGAGTCCTGTAATAGATAAAAAGAATTTATTGATGCGAAAATATGGCGAGTTAAAAAAATCCATGGTCGGTCTATGGTATCTCTCTGTGAATATTTTCAGATACTAGCTATAATGTTTCTTCGGTTTTTCTGTTCTTTTGGTGTATAGGAGATTTTAATATTCCTTTGCAAACCCTATTTCTTGAGCGTTCTTCAAATGAGAGTTAAGCCAAATGCAGTAATAAAAATAGATCACTTAGCTTATGATTTTTTCAACGGGACAATAAACGGAATATGTGATTACACCTCGCTCGCTGCTTAAACCTTTGAACTTGCTTCACATTATTATTTCAGGCTGCTCGCTGAGATGCAACAAGTGCGGCTTGATATTCTATCGATTAACGTCTCAATTGTTCTACTGCTTTCTGAAAGAACAGAACTTATTTAAAGGACAAACGAATAGTTCCAATACCAGGTAAATATAACAGACAGTACAATTATATAATGCAACTGTTAAGGGGATTCTGGACCTATCTGTTTTACCGACACATTGATTTCAATCTTTTCAAACACTAATCTTTTTCTTAGCTGCACAGATTGAAAAATCCTTTTACAAAGTGAAAGTATTTATAGAAACGAAGTCTAGAACGAAGAGTTTTATGTAAATGAAATATTAGAAAAATTACAGTTTCGTTATCATGTCTCAGGTATACCAAAAAATCATAATAATATAATTATGATATAAAAAAAAGGCATTTTAAGATAAATCAGGATGATGTCATTCGATATAGTTTTCGTGATGCTCTGGTAATGTTTTTTTGATATTAACTTGATGTTATGGTGACTTTTAGAACTGTATTAAAATATAAAGTCACAATAACATCAAAGTGACGTCAAAATGACAAGAAAATGATCTAATCATGATTACAAAGTGAGTTTTTATAGTCTTTTGTTACTCATTTTGAAGTCATTGTGATTTTTTGTTTAAATGATAATATAATTTTGTTTAAATAATAATATGTATATAGCTTATACCCATACATATTAGGTGCGCAACTAAGTTTCCGGGTTTCACACATGGATGGCGCTAACGACACATGTAGTTGTTACGTCCTGAAGGAGGAACGCAACTTGACGCTTGCTTTCGCAAGTTCCGACGTACTCGCAAGTCTGCGGTGCAGATCAAGAATCGGAATGACCCATTTATCTGGCGCGGACGTACATTGTTGGTCCTTTATTTAGGTCAAGGAACTGAATCCTTTTACCTGGGATAGGACCGTGAGCGACGGTTGAGGGAAGGGAGAATTTCTTGGTTGAGAATAATTATTTGGAAACCGTGATTGGCTTACAATTACAAACAACTTGTTTTATTAGTAATTAGACGGATGTTCGCAATGAAATAAAATTTACAAGCTTTTATAAAGTGTACGTATACATAGATGTATAAACAATCGCGGTCTGAGCAAGGATTCTTGATTACTCCGAACAATATTCCGATAGAGGAAGATCTAGTGACGGAGAGGCACGAGGTGAGGGGGAAGATCGCGATGAGAATACTTCTGAGGGAGAGGAAGTACGAATAGGTATGAGGCCCCTTAGTAAGGCCGCGTGGAATCCTCGCGTGCCTCCTCGTAGAGGAGAAGTTAGAGGGGAAGATGTCGGGGATGGGCTTCAAGATAGAGGAGAGCTTGTGGCAGAATGGTCGCCCACTGGACTCAAGGATGTTGGAGAGTATGAGATAGGAGTTACTGGGGGAGAGTCAGGAAAGAACATAAGAGGAAAATGCGCAGATCTTAAAATGTTCGATTCGTTATGGCGGATAACGTAATCTGGACGATCTTGTAATACAAGTATTAAAGAGGCGAAAGGCAAAATCCTCGCGGTTTGTACAGTTTTCCGTGATAGTTATCTCTGACTGTGATTGAGAAGATTGAGCCACTGAAATCGGATTTAACAATTAAGGAGGGATGCCAAGGGGAATAGGGAGAAAAAGGAAAAAAGGAAGGCAAAGAAAAGAGAGAAGAAAAGATAAAAGAAGAAAAAGAAAGGGGTCATTCTGACAAAAGAAAATATAAATAACTTACTGCTGGTTCTATGATGCCTATGTCGACTATGAAAAGTGTAATTGCTGCGTGTCGGTGAGGATGGACCCAATTTGCGCCAAGAACAAGAAACTGGTCTCAGCAGGATCTCTCGTAATGTCTCAAGGATGCACGAAATCGTTGCACAGAAGAAATAATAAATGAAGGACTCTGATCTGCCTCACTAGTAGGCTTGGTTATTAAGAGACCCTGAAGGGGTGCTGGCGAGAAGACTCTGTCCTGGCTGTGGGTCGGTCGAGAGGAGAAATAGAAGTGGCATAGCCTTTTCATTTTATCAAAAACGTCACCTCGGTCGAGAGGTGGGGTTTGGGAAGTTGCGTCAGGCTCCAAAGTTTATGTCCAAATATGGGTATAGGATTTTGTTGCAAACTTTTCGGAGGTGGGGTTTTTAGATAAATATGATAAATATGATAAAGGATCGGGTATCTATGGCAGTAAAAGATTTCAAGGTTCCGCTAGGGTTAGTCAGAGGTTGTGCGCGATAAGAATTTATAAATAACATGGAAAAGCATGAGTTTCCGAAGATCAAAGGTTAATAATATCATATAACAGCATGAAAGATTGTCTGGTCGGTCCGTCTTCAAAGAAAATTATTGCTCTGAACAGGAAGTTATTTAAGGTTATTTGGAGAGGAGATATATGGCCAAAATGGCTCAGCGGATCTTTTCCGACGGAAATAGAGGAAAGTCCGATGATTAAAGCAGAGAGAAAAAAAAAGAGAAATTTGTGTGTGTGACGTCACTGTTCTCGGAGGGTCGCGGAACATGAACATTTGGTCGTATAATATAAAATGCAATCCGCCCTACTTGACAACGAATTCGAAGTACGCGGAGTCCGCAGGACGTAACATAGTCGACATACATGTCTGAAGTTGTGTTTCTTTTATAGCTTGGACATCTGTTAACAATAACCAGTCGTAATACTAACACATATCGCAACACAAAAGTATGCCGAGTTTTATGCGAAATAAACAGCATTTACGGGAAGCTTTGTTTTTCTGCTTTAACTTAAAAAAAAAGGTGCAGCTGAAGCATGCCGTTTGCTCGAGGAGGTTTACGGCGAACATGCACCATCGAAAACTACCTGTGAAGATTGGTTTAAACGCTTCAGAAGTGGTGATTTCGACACTGAGGACAAGGAGCGCTCTGGAAGACCAAAAACAATTGAGGACGCCGATCTGCAAGCGTTATTGGATGAAGATGATACACAAACACAAGATCAACTTGCGGAGGCATTAAATATGACTCGCCAAGGTATTTCCAAACGTTTACATGCCATGGGAATAATTCAAAAGGAAAGAAAATGAGTGCCGCATGAGTTGATTGAGAGACAGATGGAAAATCGAAGAGCCACTTCCGAAATTTTGCTTTTGCGGCATGAAAGAAAGAGTTTCCTTCATCGAATTGTTATTGGCGATGTGAAGTGGATATATTTCGAGAATTTCAAACGCAAAAAATCGTGGCTTTCATCTGGCGAAGCCTCAACATCGACGGCACGGCCAAATCGCTTCGGAAAGAAGACAATGCTCTGGCGTTTGGTGGAACCAGAAAGGAATCGTATACTATGAGCTGCTGAAACCGGGCGAAACTGTCAATGGGCATCGCTACCGACAACAACTGATCAATTTGAACCATGCATTGCTCGAAAAACGGCCAGAATGGAACACGAGACACGAACGAGTGATATTGCAGCATGACAACGCTCCGTGCCATCGCAGTTCTATCGTCCAGGACATCATCAAAACGCTGAAGTGGGATCTGCTACCGCACCCGCCGTATTCGCCAGACCTGGCCCCTTCCG